GCCGCCAGTTTCAATTTTTCAATTAGCAAATATATGCAAAATTACGAGAGCTAATGAATATTCAAAATCTAATATCTATTCGAAAGAATTCGGAGGTCCGTTTTGCTCCCACAAAATTTTTGCTCCTTACAAAATATTGTGATCGACAAAATGTTTTTGTTTTTTTTTAAGGCCTCCATTTTGCCCCTGTCCCCCCTATAACCTATTAAAAAAAGCAGAGCACTGTACAATTATAATTGTCAGGCCATTTGATAAAATCGATATTTTTGATAGAAATCGATTATCGATAAAAAAAATAATTTCCATTTTCTTATTTTTTAATAAATTAATGACTAAATACTTAATTTATCTATTCACTTTATATTTTGTTGACGCCTGGAAAAATGTTAAAAATAAAAAATATAACGATTGTCAATGGTGATCATTTTATTCTCCATACATATGTAATTCTTGGTATATAGATGCCACATGGGGACTGTATATGGCACCCCCCACACGGGACCTTAACGAGACTGACACGCAGTGCGATGAATTTTTTTTATGATATCGAGTAATTTAAATCTACCCGCCCTTTGACCCCACGTGACTTGTCAACCGTGAAACCCTCAAAATCATCCCCTTGAAAATAAATCGATGGTCCCGCGCACACGATGAGCCTCGGATTGAGACCATTGAGACTAGGTGTCCGTCATCCTCCTCTGATTGTCGCACTCCTCTCACTCCATCCTCGTCTCAACCTTGAATTTCCTCCACGACGACCTCCCGGAGCGTTTACTCTCGGCGGGTGAAGTTGTTTTTACTCGTACTCCCCCAAAAGCCTCATGTGCTGATCTGTACGCACTATTAAAAGTGCGTAAAACGGCAAAAAAATTATTAAATACACTCATGTTTTGGTGTTGGAGAACTCAGTGTGTGGAGAATGGTCTTGTGCTTCACAGGGATGATTTAACCTCTCGCTGAGGGCTCAGGGTCATCCAACTATTTTACCCAAGTGTTCCAGTTGAAATTACGGACTCTATGAAGACTCAGTGATGAATTTTTGAATTTAATCGGGGGAAATGTGAGCTGGGAATCGGATTCCTGGTGATTGATGCTTGGATTATCATTGTGAAAATTAAGTAAGTAGTCATTCCTGCTCCTTTAATTAAACAAAGTACTCGGTTTACTTCATGTTGAATGGAGAAATTATCAATGGATGAAGAACTCAGTGTTATGTCATTTTATCGATTACTGAAAGATAATCATTTCAATAATTAGTGTACGTCGATGGGAACGGAATTAAAAATTTGTGATTTGTAGGAATTCAATATAATTTATTAATCAATTAATACCATTTTTTAATTTCATAAAATGGGCGTCATTTCCCTCTGCTCTGAAATTCATATTTTTCCTCGCAAATTAAATTATGGACTCCAATTCCTAGGATATTTCCAAAAATCGAAAACTGAAAATTCGAGATGACAGTTGCGATTGAAGTTTCAATTTTCACTTTGAAATGTGCCGCGCCTGGCGTCACCCCGCGAATCCCCGCGAAACGGTGGGTTTCCAAATACATTTTTTCCATTTTCCCCCCCACGTATGAAATAAAACGCCCTAACCTCTGAGTTCCCACAAAAAGGAGTCAGTACTGAGTGGTAGATTATTTATTTTGTCCACCAGCTGAACAAGTGCTCCCTCGAGTATCAAATGTGGATTAACCCCAGTGGTGCGAGTACCCGTTGGATGGAATTACCGAGGACATAACTAACATTTTGAATAATTCAGGATGGTGCAGCGACCGGTTGTACCTCGACGCAACGTCAGGATTCTCCTGATCGGTGATCAGAGTGTGGGTAAGACATCCCTGATCCTGTCGTTGGTGAGTGAGGAATATGCCGAGGAGGTGCCGCACAAGGCCGAGGAAATAACGATACCAGCAGACGTTACCCCAGAGCAAGTGCCGACCCACATCGTTGATTACTCCTCGACAGAGCAGACTGAGGATCAGCTGATGGATGAGATCCAGAAGGCCCACGTAATCTGCGTCGTCTACTCGGTTGATGACGAGGACACCCTGGACAGAGCTGCAAGCTACTGGCTGCCACTCGTCAGGAAATGCTCGAGCATAAATAGATGTCCTGTTGTTCTCGTAGGGAATAAAATTGATCTCGTCGATTATTCCACCATCGAGGCGGTCTACCCCATCATGAAGGAGTTCTCGGAGATCGAGAGCTGTATTGAGTGCTCTGCCAAGACACTCCAAAACATATCTGAGATGTTTTATTATGCTCAGAAAGCGGTGCTGCATCCCACAACTCCACTGTATAATTACGACACTCAGGAACTCACCGACGAGTGCAAAAGAGCTCTCCAGAGAATATTCAAGATTTGTGATCTCGATAATGATGGGCTGCTCAATGATATGGAGCTCAATAACTTCCAGCAGTCGTGCTTCAATACTCCTCTGCAGCCCCAGGTCCTGGAAGACGTCAAGGCGGTGCTGTCGAAAAATATTCACGATGGCACGTGCAATGGATGTGTCACCATGAAAGGTCATATATTTTATATTATTTTATGAGAATGTCTATGCCCATGAACGAATAATTTCTCAATTCAAATTTTCAGGCTTCATGTATCTCCAGTGTTTATTTATCCAGCGAGGGAGGAACGAAACCACGTGGGCTGTGCTCAGGAAATTCGGATACGACAATGAGCTGCAGATGTCGAAAGATTACATCCACCCGCCGTAAGTATTTATCCCTCAAAAAAAATATATATATACATATATATGAGTAATCGTTTTAGTTTCTAAATTCGTGACAATAAAATATTCTTCACTCTCAGGCTGAAAGTACCGTCTGGTTGTACCACAGAGTTATCCCACAAAGGCCAAGAATTCCTGACAGTACTATTCATGCTGCACGATAGAGATCGTGATGGTGCTTTATCACCATCTGAAATGGACTCGTTGTTTTCGCGTTGCGTGACACCACCATGGGGCGACGAGTTCAAACACACTGTATCCACTAATGAAAAGGTATTTTTAGGAACTAGGATATTCTAGGATTAGATGAATGACGCCAACGATGACCCCAAAACTACTGGGTGGTACAATGTGGACATCCTTATTTTTTCAAAATTATAAAAAAATAATTTTCACTGATTCGGGATTCATTAATGTTGCAGGGCTGGATCACCTATCAAGGATACATGTGTCAATGGGCCCTTATGACGCTGACAAACGTTCGAAAAACTCTGGAGTACATGGCATACCTCGGCTACAACATCTTCAACAATGAGTGTCAAACGAGTGCTGTTACTGTAACCAGAGAGAAAAAATTAGATCTAGCCAAGAAGCAGTCCAGTCGAAATGTCTACACATGTCACGTCATTGGTCGAAAGAGCAGTGGAAAAACCACGCTATGTAGGACGTTTATTGATCCGAAACTCGAGGTATTGATCTGACTGGTATTTCCTGAATGAGGAGTTTTATTTACAAATTAGGTTTTCTCTCCGCAGAAATTGACTGATGATAAAGTACCAGCGAATGCTCAGTTGGCTGCGAATACGGTGCACGTTTATGGCCAGGAGAAGACTATTATATTGAGAGATATTAATATTTTGAATGTTCAAGATGCCTTAACTCCTGCACAAATACAGTGCGATGCTGCAGCCCTTGTTTACGATTCTAGCGATCCAAAATCGTTCGAGTATATCGCTCGTATTTATATTGTGAGTAAAAAATACCATATTATAAAAAATTACATTAAAATATTGCAATAGAATAATTTTTTATCTGAAATTTGATGGGTAAGGAACAGAAAAAAATCCAATGAAAGACTTTTATTCCGTAGATCTTGTTCCAAAAAATATTGTCATTGAAAAAAAATCTAGAATAGCCTCAATTGATTATTATAATTCCAGAAATATTTTGCGGACAGCAAAATACCCGTACTAATAGTTGCAAACAAGAGTGACCTCGCTGAAGTGAAACAGGAGTACCTGCTGCAGCCAGCGAGTTTCTGCAGCAAATACAAACTCATGCCCCCACAACCGTACAGCATTACTCGGACTGTACGACCGGAGATATTCGTCAAATTAGCAACAATGGCTGCCTTTCCGTGAGTATCTCCCCCAAATCAATGACAGGGTTTAAATCAGAATATTCCACTTTTAATTTGACTAGACAGCTTGACGAAAAACTCGTACTCCAGTCGCTTTAGACATTCTTCGGTTTTAAATCCATTTATTACAAGATTTCCTGCAAGTTCTCCTCTTATTTATCTTTCTTTAATTTTAATTTACGACATGAACGAATAAATCCACGATATTGTTGATTAAATTCGAATTAGAGATGTCAAGTGCCAGTGTTTAGAGCAAAAAGGATTGAATAAATTCATTTTTCGATTGGAAACAAAAATCAGGAACTAATAGAAAGCAATTTCGTGTTTAGCCGCTTTCAAGCAGCGTGGGTATTATTTTACAAACACAGGTTGGTTCAATTTTGTACACTGTTTAAATTTTAATCGTAGGCACGTCTAGCTGAAGCGATTTGCTGTATTTTTTTTTTAATTCACCATTTGGATGTTAAATGCTGAAATAAAACCAAAGCTTCTGGGACCATTTAATGTTTTGCATATTAATTGTTGTTGAAGACGTGCAGTTGGATTGAAGGAAAGAACTTGTCCATTCATTCTCTCTGAATTGTTTCAGCCGTTTGAGGCGTATGGTCCACATGTTGCTTGTCAATCCTTCACCAAATCAATGGTGGAATTGTTTCACAAGGTTCCTCTTCGTATTTTTTATCAGCTTTTATTCATCGAGTGATTATCGTTTATAATTCACACTTTTGGAATGCGCATGGACATTTTATTTCATGCTAAACTTTAATCCTTGCTTCGTATTTTTTATTTTGTTAATAATAAATAATACCGAAGTGGTATAATCGAGGAAATACGAACAGAAACTTTTTCGATGTTGAGAGTAAAAGCCATTTGTTTCATTTATTCGTGCAAGTGTTGTAATCTATTGGCTTTAATCAATAGTTCAGCATGTGATGTTGAACACCAGTGATGGGTTAATTGTTTGAATTGGGGCTTTGATGGTTTCAGACACATGAAGCAGTTCGGTCTCGTTCAAGGGGATTCAGTCGTCTGGTGGAAGGCTGGTCTTGGAATAGCAGCAGCCACTGTAGCTGGTTTCATGATGATGCGTGTACTCAACACGAACAAAAGATAGTCTTACCATATTATATATTTTTTTTCTCCTATCCCTATTCCTCGTAATATACCACTTGTTTAAGAGAACAATGCCCTTATCGTAAAGCACGCGTTAAGTTAATAAACACTGTTCCCAAATTCAATATTCTTATTCATTTAATCCAATCCTTGTAGATTGAAGATTAATCCAGGGGTATAAATTGCAGAGTTGTCTGCATTTTCATTGAAATTCAGGTGAAATATATCTCACCTTTATCTCAGGTTATCGTTCAGAACGAGAGATACGAGACTCTCTACATCTGAGAGGGTAAATCATTTTCTTTTTCAGTCGTAAACAAATACTCGGTCTTACGTGCTATCACAGTGTGAGGATTTTCAGGATTTGTTATCGAGATTCTTGTGATGAGAATAAAGGAATGAATGGAATAATCATTTCATTGAACAATTTTTTATTCACTTCTATGAGTTGAGAAGTTTAATTTAATTTTTAGTTTGAGATGCATTCAAGGGAAGAGGCAGTAAATGGAAATTTAAAACAACGATTTACGTATTAACAACTAATTTTATTCTCTTCCCATAATTTTCTAGTACATCACCAACGAATTGGATCCATATTCCACTCCGGAATATTTAAAAGCAATGACAAGGGAATTATCATTTCCATTAACGGATAATTTGGGGAATCGTCTATTCAGGCATTTACAAATCTGAAAAAGAATAATTAGTGAGGTTATTACAACAACAAAGAATATAAGAAATATAAATTAATTTGGAGACTCTTAAATTGAGAAACCGAATGAGGATTACTCATTCAGAAGATTTTCTAGTTTTTAGATTTTCTAGAGTGAAAAATACTAACGATTAGCGGTTTTGCACTGGCGTAGGGCCTCATTGAATCCCTCGCAGAGGGTGAGATCTGACTGGTGCTGGGCGCACTCGAGGAATTGCTTGATTTCCCAGGCACAGGCACCACCAGCCTGAGATGGAGCCTGCATGTTCTGCTGTGGCACTGGAGCTGGAGCAGCAGCCGCTGCTGGTTCAGATGAGCCACCACTGAAGAGTCCAGTCATGGCGTGTCCAATGGTGTGACCAACTGCTGATCCAATGGCAACACCTCCAGCAGTTGCTGCCATTTGGCCCATCAATCCAGGACCCTGAGGGGCTGCAGCAACCATTGGACTAGCAGCTGGAGCCTGAACCGGAGCTGGAGGATGAGCTGCAGGGGCAGCTCTAGCTGGAGCAGCTGCAGGCCTCACGCTGAAATAAAATCACTCATTAGATTTGATTTGAACAAGAGGATCGAACAAGTTGGCAGATGCACCATTATCTCCAAGTAATTCGCAATGTATTTTTGCTATCTTCTCTCTCCATCAAGATGGCGAATATCTGTGAGAACTTTTCAAAGCGAAATAGAAGATCCTACAAAAAATTATCATGAAAATTGCATCATATTTGATAAATTCGAGATATTGAACTGAAACTGACGTTTAGGCATTTGATCTGACGAGTGTCAACTCTTGGTTGATAATTTCACTGATATAAAATTACTCATTTTTCTTCGTCTACGTCAGGTCTGTAGAGCCCTAGACCTTGTGCTCGTGACGTAACGCATTTATGAAATGCAAAATTGTGTCACTAATTGAGAAACTTCAGGGATTTAAGGTGATTGGAAGGATTCAATTACACTTACGTCCTTGGAGGAGGTCCTGATGCGCGTCCTCGTCGTGGCATGATTGGCAATTGATTTGTAATCAACGGGTTTGATTGAAATTTCACGTGTATTCACTCGGTTATTCACGTTATAACTGAAGTTCTGAGATGAAGAACGAGGGATTTTGTCGATAACGTCACGTTGTGCAATGTCCACCGGAAGTAGAGGAGGGGATTGTCTATTGCGCAGCTTTTCCGAGTTTTAGATTCACTCTAGAATTTTCTAGAATTCAAAATCAAATTTGATTCAGCGCTCGATGCAGTTGTCGAAGTCAACTGGCGGGATTTTAATTCTCATGACGAATTTATAGCCGATTGCATGTTTATTATTGGCATTTTGAGACTTTCAACCCTTCGAGTTCTGTATTTACGAGATCTAGTGGTTTTTCCCCGCACAATTCCCTAGATTTTAATGTGAATTTTAGTTCTCACAGGTTTACTAATTACGATCAGAAAACTGTATAAAAAATTATAAATTTAGGATGCAACAGAAGGTCATAACCCACGACATGCCGGCAATTAATTTTCAAAGTGAAATAACAATGGGGAGATTCCAATTACGCAAAAATAAAACATCCTTTTTTCCATTACATATTGCATTATATATAGCACTAGCGCTGCCTCGGCCGCTAAAGCGACCGGGACATTGATAAGATTTCCATTTTGGAATGCATTTGCAAATGTTTTATGAGAATGATAATTGATGTTTCGATAGTTACTCATTAATCACTTCCTCATATAAATCCTCTACGATATCTCCATCTGGAGGTGCTATACACTCATCTAGATACATCTTGAAGTCATTGCTATTGAATGTTCCACCCCAACAGATAGTAGAAGTTGGGCAAATTCAGCTTCTTCTCGTCAGCCTCTTCTCTGGCAGAGTGAACTTGGAAAAGATGGGTTTTACTTATTTATGTAATAGCGATGTTTTGGGGATGCTTTCACTAAGAGGGGATTAATGGGAATTTTAATCGATGTGGTCGATTTGATCAGATGAACCAATCGACCAACAGGTCAACCAAACAACCAACCAAATCAACTAACCAACCAATTAATCAACCAACTAGTTCAACCAACCAACCAACGAAATATACCATTAAAAGGACATATAAATAGTATACTATTAATTTGCTTTCGAAACAAAAAGATTGAGCAAAAGTTAAAATTTCAGTACAACATGAAAATCCTATTTTCACGTTAAAAATACGATAACTCAATGGAAAATTGTGGGCATCACATAACTCACGTATTTTTTTAACGCTTATTAAAGCTTTCAAATCACGATGTAAAATATTATCTGAGAACATGAAATAAGCCAAAATTGGACTGCCGTATCCCTGCCGCCAAATTTCTGTTAAACCGCCTGTAGTGCCTCCTTTCTTCTGGTAGTGGTATTAAATATTTCTGGGTTCACTCAAACCCCCGCAATTTCGTTTCGGACTCTTCATATTCATTGGTTTTGATTGAATTGACACCCCCATAATCTCTTGTTGTACGTGTGGTTTCGCGTGTTTATCCTGAAGGGCCTGAAACGTTAATACAGAAATTTTTATAATAAAACGTAAAACCACAGTGAATATTCGAAAATGCCAGAGGTTAAAGATGATCCTCGACAAGTCCTGACGCTTCTAAATTCCTTAGGGTTTGTGGGAATCACTGCGGAGCAGCTAAAAACATTCATGAAGGGTATGTACTAGAATCTAACGGTTTTCCTCACTTTTTTTCAATTTAAACATTGAAAGAAAGCAATTTTATCTTATAGTCTTAAGAAATTAATTAAACAACTTTATGGAGAAAATAAAACCACTGTTGGAATTCGGTAATGTATGAGTAAATAATCGACAAAGTGTAATATTACGTATTTTTTCAATTTATAAATAATAAATATATTAAAAGCGTTTTCAAGTCTCGAAATCTTCGGTGTTATCTAAGAAATATTTAAATGATAAATACAATTGATTTTTTAAAAATATGATTGTTATTAGAATTCAAGTTATAGGGGAGTGCAGGGTAATATGGATACGTTCTTATTTGAATTGAATAAATTGAATTGAATAAAACGATAAACGCCTTATTGAAAATCATTCAATTACTATCATCTTTGTGTTTTTAATTGTTTAATGACTGAATAATTTTGAACCCACTCGATGATGGAAATTGTTACTAGCCAAGCCTATCAATCGACTCATTGCAAAATGCTTCATTCATCTATTTATGTTTCTCAGAATATGGGAAAACATTAAAAAAATTAAGAATGTCACTAAATTCATTTCTTTATTTTGATTCGCAGACCTGAAAATTTATCGCAAAGTCAAGGAGCGTGAACGTCAACAGTGGAAGGATGGAATGAAACGAAAGATTCTGCAAAAACAGAAGACGGAATTAGCGAAATTATTGATGGGACCTTCAAGTCCAGAACCTCCGCAAGCACCTGCTGATCCTATTGTGGAGATACAAATCGAGTGTGTTTCTGACAGTGACACGAACGATGAAAGAGATAATGCAATAGTCGAAACTAAAAGAGAGAACTTCCATAAAATAAGGGCTCTCCAGAAAAAAGAAACAACTGTTCCAACCAATTCCGTGAATGTGGGTAAGACATTGCGAAATCACAGTAATGTGAATCAGGAGATAAAGACACATCGTGGATTGAGAAATGTAACACCTCCGCGATCTGCAAGTGCCCCAGACCTATCAGAACCAGCGCCAAGAGTTTCCAGATCAAAAAGTACTTCCTCCGAGCCCACGAAAATGTCTTCTAGAAACCCATCAAGATGTTCCTCTCGATCACAATCCAAATCCTGTAAGTGTCAAGCACGAATTTTACTTTATCCCCAGCATATTTTCTGTGGAAAAATCATTCAGAATATGTTTTCACAATGTTGGAATAGGATCACTCCTACCTTGGACCTTTTACACGTTGACACTTTGTATTATCCATTAATTACGTAATATAGAGGAGCCTGGGGTAGAAGAGATATACAAAAAATTGTTCCATTCTTGATTTATAATATTTTTTATAGTACTAACAGTCAAGTTGAGAATAATAAAAGTGGTACTATCCGTTCGTTTTAAATTTCTTAGTCAAACAGGAACGTACACTTTTTGTCTAGAAGTGTTCTAACGTAATAAAAAATGATAATAATTGGATCATTTCCATGCAAATTTGAAGCTTATTGAATAAACTTTCAAATGAGCTCAAAATATAAACAGGTTATAGTAGAGAAAGTTCGGAATTGCCAACTGCCAGGAAAAAACCAGCGTGACGATGAAGGATTGTTTTGCAATGGAATCCCTGAAATACTCTCTGCCTTTGCCTCCTAGGTTGTTTCTTGTCTCTTTGATACAAATTTCTAGAATCGACTCATTTTTTTGAATATTGTCTTTAGAATTATTGTATAGAACTGAAAATGTTATGTTTAGAAGAGTCTGTTGGGCTTTTCCAGTCTTCTCTTAATCCTCTTCAACAGATAGTACTACACCAATTTAAATAAAAAAATTTGATTGACAAGAAAAATCCATCTGAACCTCATCAACCCAATATCAACCTATCCTTTGCACTTAAAATTCTTAATCAACTGATCATTTATCTCCACAGTCATTCGACCTTGGCGATTAAATCCAGAGACTCAGGGTATTCTACAAACCGTTAAATCAGATCCAGTGGCGCTCTACCAGAATTATCAAAAAGGATGGAAGCAAATATCATTCCCCGGAGAGAACCCACACACAGATATTCGATGGGCAGTGAGAGAAAAAATGTTAGGGATTGATCCAACTCCAAAACCAATCCTTAAAAAATCCTGTAGCACAATGAGTGTGAAACGAAGATGATATATCATCTATATTTTTAAATAACCATGGAGAAAAATCAATCGGTTAATTAGCATTAGGAAAGCACGGAAGTTAATTATCTTAACAATGATGATTAGATAGTACATTTATTTTTTATTTTTTACATTTAATTATAGATATAATTTTTTACATTGAATGATGTCTCTTAGGCTTGATCTGCTTTGAATGCTCGGGTGAATTTAATGTTGTCAGGTCTATGCAAGTGGTGCAGTAATTTAGCCTCTATTTGACGAGCTGCACGCTCTGTTAAGACGAGAGTGTCATGTTTCAACATACTGTAGACGTTTAAACCTGTGAAGAAGCAAAAATAATGGGTTAAAAACAGAGTATTCATTTTGTTCATCAAAAAAATTAATTGTGTAGATAATAGAACTTTTCTTCTGTTCTTTAAACGTATGTACATATTAATTCTGATTGCAATAAATTATATTTAATAAAGAAACGTTGAAAATGTTAATTTGATAATTTAGGTGAAAGCAAAATGTTGGTAGGGGAGGGTGGGATAACGGGGAGACCTGAACACTAATGAACATGAAATGGACAGTATGAAAGTTCAGAGAGGATGGGGTAAAATGGTCACTTGACCTTAATTTTATTTTCTTTAAAATTGAGAAAACACTCTAGAGTGAAATAGACTGGCTTAGTTGACAATTCATAAATAGTTAATTGCTTCATTCAATGATACAAATGGGGTGGAAAATCAATTATCAAAATTAATTCAACCCTATCAAGTTTATGGACATGTGGTAGAAACGATTCGAAAGAAAAAGTATTAGTTAAGGGATAAAACAAAATGATTCAGTTAAATAACGAAGTGGTGAAAGGGAATAAGTAAATTTGGCTCGTGCCTCAGTTTTCATGAATATCTGAAAATTCAAGAGAAATAACAAAATTTGTGAAAATACATTTTTTTAGTTCTCCTTTTACTGTACGAAAGACTTCTAGAGAAAAAATTCGCTATCCCCTCAGATCTTGAGATATTGATGAAGAAATCAACGGGAGAATAAATCGACTCAGTTCCACTGAACACTCCACTGCAGGACTCACTCATCTGAGATCTTAGAAATCGGAGCTTCTCAAAATTTAGCTAAAAATGTCTTACCATAGACTGGCATCAAATTAACGTGTTTCAAATCGTCGGTAGCCAATGTAATATTCTCAGGCATCACATCCTCCACATCAACGAAAAGTAAAGAAGGTCCCCAGTTTCTCTCCTCCATAAGCGATTCGATAAACTCTGGAGAATTAGTGGGAATTTCCAAGTCATTGACCAAATGAAGATCGTCCTGAGCGAGTTTTATAGACAGGGCACTTGTCAGACCAGCAATTCTGACATAAAATGGTAGCATGTAGAAGTGAGTGGTTGGAGATCGTGGACCATGAGCCTGACCTCCATTGATCCAGTGGGGAGCTCTAATACTTCCTTGTCTAGCTCTTCCTGTACCTTTTTGAGGCCAGGGTTTGCGACCACCACCTGGCATTTCAGCTCTGGATTTTCCATGTGCAAAATTCTGTTAAATAAACAAACAAATCCACTTCACTAGTTATTAACTAAATTGGAAGAAGAACATCCACTGGTACTGATAGTAAAATAGTGAAGAAAGATAGGTGCTTTCACATAATGCGAATATGAAAAAGAAAGTCTATGTTTTTCTATCAAGAATCGGCTACTATTTTGTAACTTACAAAGTAATAAATGGCAGAACATTTCCTTATCGAGGCTTTTTGCATTATAAATATTTTTGAAGGAAAGAAAAGTTTTGAGGAATGACGGAAATTGACGATTACTTTCAGAAATATTCTTTAAATAGTATAAATTGGAATATTGAATTGAATTCATTTTTTTCATTCTCACGTAAAAAAACAAAAGATTATGTTAGAATGAACAGGACTATGAAAATTTTCTAAACTATGATGAGACAATGGTAAAGCTATTATAATAATAATAGATATTACAAGAAATGGTTAGACATCTTTATAAAGAAAATAAACGCTTTTACCACTGACTCTAAAAGTAAATAAATAAAAATTTCACGCATTCAGATAGAATCATGTTGTTACTGTATGTAATGAAATAATTAGTAAGAGTCTTACCACATATTTATACATCCTCTGCCATCTGATATTTTGATACAAAACATCAATCCGTGGTCTATCTGCAAAAATCGCTGGATGTAATTCAGATAGACCTAACTTTTTCTCCTCAACTGTATCCAAATTTTCGATCCAAACTTGTCGTTTCTGTATGTATAGATAATCCTCATCCAAGTATTTTCGGGAGGTGATGATAGGTTTGACATTATTCACATTATTCACATTATTCACCAGTTGACTCTCAACAACACTGCTCACTTTTGAAACTTGGTCGTAGGATCTTTTAATATTTCTGAACAGATTTCCAATGAATATCGACATTTTCCTTGTTTTCTTTGATTTTTGAGGAGTTGGTGCACGCTTAGCTCCAGGCCATAACCTTTTCAAATCTCTCAGGGCACCGATCTGAAACGAAAATCCGCGCCAATTATGAATGAAGCATTCATAGAATATAAGAATATATATTTTAAACACATGCATTTATTCATGATGAATTGAATTAGAAAATTTTCAATTTCAGTGAATACCTCCTTAATTGTCATGCTCTCCTGATAATTTTTCGAAAATTTTGAATTTTCAAATTTCAGTGAATACTTGGTAGATTTTCATGCTCCGCTGATACTTTTTTGAAAATTTCGAATTTTCACATTTCAGTGAATACCTCCTCGATTTTCATGGTCCCCTGAGACATTTTTGAAAATTTCAAATTTTTTAATTTCAGTGAATAGCTCCTCGATTGCCATGCTCTCCTGATACATTTTTTAAAATTTCGAATTTTTCAATTCCAGTGAATGCCTCCTCGATTTTCATGTTGCCCTGATACTTTTCCAAAAATTCAAAATTTTCAAAAACGAATACCTCCGTGAATACCTCCTCGATTTTTATGCTCCCCTGATATTTTTCAAAAAATTTCGAATTTTCAAATTTCAGTGAATACCTCCTCTATTTTCATGCTACCCCGATACTTTTTTGAAAACTTTGAGTTTTTCAATTTCAGTGAATATCTGTTTCGTAACGGAGAAAATAACATTCACCCTATCGGCTGGTCCGAAAATTCGAAATTTTCAAGACAGTATCAGGGGAATATGAAAATCGAGGAGGTATTCACTGAAATTGAAAAAATCGAAATTTTCAAAAATTTATCAGTGGAGCATGAAAATCGAAGAGGTGTTCAGTGAAATTGAAAAATTCGAAATCGAGAAGGTATTCACTGAAATGTGAAAATTCGAAATTTTTGAAAAAGTATCAGGGGAACATGACAATTAGGAGGTATTTTTGGAAATGTGAAAATTCGAAATTTTTGAAAAAGTATCAGGGAACATGACAATTGAGGAGGTATTCACTGAAATGTGAAAATTCGAAATTTTTGAAAAAGTATCGGGGAACATGACAATCGAGGAGGTATTCACTGAAATTAAAAAATTTGAAATTTTTGAAAAAGTATCAGGAGAGCATAAAAATCGAGGAGGTATGACATTCACCCAGTCGACTGGACCGCCGTATACTTGGCGAATAAATTGATCATTTCCGTAAATTAATGTATGGAACAATCGGGAATTAATTTGGGAAATTTCGGGAAAGCCTTTTTATAATTTGGGAACGAACAGTTAATTAAGAATCATAAAAACATATTCAACCGTATACTTGGCGAATTTTTGAGGGAATGGCGAAATTTAAATTGCAACACACGTGTGAGGGGGGGAGGGGTTAGCGACGGAGCGCAGTCGCGTGACTTAACTCATCTACTCATAATTAGTATTTATTGGCCTCATATGATGATTTTACGTCTGTTGCAATTTAAATTTCGCCATTCCCTCAAAAATTCGCCAAGTATACGGTTGAATATGTTTTTATGATTCTTAATTAACTGTTCGTTCCCAAATTATAAAAAGGCTTTCCCGAAATTTCCCAAATTAATTCCTGATTGTTCCATACATTAATTTATGGAAATGATCAATTTATTCGCCAAGTATACGGCGGTCTCTGCTTTAGTCAACCCTCTTTGAAGGACATTGTGAAAGGACATCAACGTTCTGGGGCGACGCTAGTTACCTGCATGAAAAAGCGGAAAAATAGCGGTCAGCGCATGCGCAATCCATGAAATATAGGCGGGATAATTGAATATTTGACGCCATAGAAAGTCATAGAAAAGTGTGTCGAGTAGGCAATCAGTTAGCTGTCCTCATAAGATAATTTCATTCATAGAATAAATGTATGGGAGTGTACAACAAACACTTGGCACATTTAAAAATAAGTCTCAAGCGTTTATTATTACAATTTCACTATTTCCATATAAAAAATAATTTTCCGAAAGTTAATTTTGCAGATGTTTTTTTTTAATTGCATGTCGATGCAGATTAGGGATTTTTATATTTTCGTTGAAAAAATTGCTTTTGATACGAAGCTTTTCCACATGCGTGAAACATGGGCGCGATTATTAAAACGCTAGGCAATGAAGTCTTTGCTATTTTCCTTTCCAATGAGGTGTGATAGATTCGATAAAATTTAAAGATTGAACCCGGAAATCTGACAGTAGAAGATCGGCATCATTAAATATTCATGAACGGGCAAAATTAAAAAAGGAATAATCATGTGAGGAATACCATTGCACCATTGCTCAATTGCATGTCACAAAACTGGGCAGAACAGTCCATATTAGTCCTAAAAAAAGAAAAATCTTATGATGAACATAATTTGAACAGACTGTCCTTTTATGACATAGAACTTAATTCTGTTGTGAAGTGGTAAATTAGGGTAACTGCGATTTCTTCGAGGTCAGTTTTTATCTGATATCTCGGAACTGAAGGGAGATAATTTTTTCTTATCTCTCTCTATAAAAAATTGGTATGCATAAAAATAGTTATGCCCCTCCAATTCCGAGATATCAGTGAAAAACTGGACTTCAAAAAAATGCGCGTATTCGGTTACCACTTCGCTGATTTACGTAAAAACTGTGACGTGGGGCAATCTTGGTTTTTGAAAAAAATTACTGTTAAAGTTTTGTCAAAATTTTTGCTTGCTAGGACAATTTTTACGGAACTTTCAATTTCGGTATAAAAGTGCCGTAATATTCTGAGAATTTTTCTCTCCGTGTAATAAAGAATATGTTATAAAACATCTTTGTCACTCAGTTCGTGAACCAACGCTTTTCTGCCGCTGCACGACTATAAATCAATTCGTTTCTTTCCGCACTGCTTTTTAGGAATTTTTGTCTAATAATTGGTATTATATATTCCTCCAACTCAAAAATTACCGTGACAAAAGACTGTTTTTTTTAACGAACAAAGAAAAACAGTATTTTGTTCTTAAGTCAAAAAGAATATTTTCCGCACGATGTGCCGAAAAGTAACTTTACAGACACGCTCTAGTTCGCTTGCCTAAAAACGGATTTTCCCGCCCTGGTGAAGAAACAGTATATTTCATTACAAGTGCAACAAAATATTCTTTATCTCGTGGGCTTATATCATTTACTGCACTTGTATCGAAATATACGATTTCATCACAATGTACGGTAAAGTCATCTTTTATCGGAGCGTGCCTGAAATAGTATTTTTCACCCCTAGAACGGAAAAGGTGAGTTTTACGAATGTGGTTTTATAGTCCGAGCCGAAGGCGGGGACTGTAACGCGCATGAGTCAGAATCACTTTTTTCGCCGTGGCCATGATGCCATGTTATGTTTTTGTGGCCGAAAACGCGTTTTACCAGTCGCGATAACATAAAGTTACTTTTTGCCACATCGTGATGAAAAGTAATTTCACGCTTGTGTGAAAAATCACTTTTCCGCACTTGTAAGGAAATATATTACTCTGGCGATTGTGAGCTTGCAGCTTGATGCAGAATTCATAATTCACCATGAAAAAATGTATTGTTTATTGCTTGTGGTAATTTGTTTATTGACTTGCATTGATATTTCAATAGTGAACTATGAACCGTGAAGAGGGTAATAGCCCTCACCTCCCACTATTCTGGTGAACAGCGACGCCCTCGATGACCGCGCCGTTGATCAATACCGTGCTCTCAATTGCTCCGTACGACACCGGTCAGAATAACGTCCTCAAATTATCGGAAAACCCATGGTTTCCATCATGAAAAAGTGATTGAAAACAGTTATAAATTATTGTTCAAGTTATTTAAACCTACAAGCAATGATGTAAAAGTTACATTCCATCGATTATTATCACCAGTGCATGATAACACGGATTTTTGCAAGGACACAATCACACACCTCTTGAAAATTTTGGGGGATCGATCCACTTCACAATGGCGAAAGTAAGTGTAATGTTTGCATTTTCATCTGATAAAACTTGATTCATTCACTGAATTATTATTTGTTTATATATTTTGTCGAGGCTTTTTTCCGGGTTGTTCATTGATTATGATGTATATTTCGTGTTTATGAAAATGACGCATGTAATGGGCACTTGACTTTCATTATTTCTGTTAGAGTTGATGAAAATGGACTGAAACTAAGTCAAACAAAAACAGAGCGTAGAATAAGGTCGGCTGAACTTACCCAAGGAAATCTAATTCAAGTAAAATGTAAATAACAACTAAAAGAGTATCGACAATGTGCGGCTTCACTTCTCACTCGTCTCACAAATCAGGAGAGAGGGAGTCTACAAAAAAATTATTATTGCAAATCAGTTAATTTATAGCTCAGCAGAAAAAATGTTAATGACGATGGAATTATATCGGCAATGAGAGCGTTCAGGAGAATTTAGTGAAAAAAGTTGTTTATCTTTCGAGATTTCCACAAAAAGAGAAAACTTTTCTTTATTCTCCAAAAATAGGACACCGAAACAGTTGAGTAATTATCAGGGGATTTCATATCTGACCTGTTTTACGAATTGTTGTCTATTGTTAAATGTTGTCTTAGTAATGACTCACGGACTAAAGCACTGCTGTAGATATTATGAAAACATCTTTTGTGACCCCTAGCTACTTTGTTTTCAATAATAGCGCAGGATAAATTACGATTAATTGATGATAAATCATGTAACAAAAATTTCCGTGCACTCAGCAAAAAAGTTTCTCTTGCCAAATACACTGAGAGAAATATTCAATAAAAATTACGTGTATTTTCCGTAATTCTGGAGCGAAATGTGGTGATCGGAAATTTTACGGAACTGTCACGTAATTTTTATCTAGAGTCACGGAATTTTTCCGGGGTGTTCCGTAATTTTTATCTGAATTATCGGTGAAAAATAACGATACCGTCATTTAAATTTTTCGAATCAACTCCGTAATCGGTAAGTGAACTGAAAGTTCCGTAATTTTTACTAAATATTTCTCTCCGTGTACATGGATTTGCCACCAGTAACTGTATAAATCCTTCCAAAAGAGCTGCCAGTGCCAGCTATATTTTCTTGTAGTCGTAACAAACAAAATATGCGATGTATTGCATTTTTCCGGAATGCATGTGCACATAATTACTACATTAGTATATATATCGTTTATAAAGGATTTTTCATGCAGGTATTGAATGTGAAGAGGAAACAATGAATTTTTCTTCGTGTGGAGTTGATAGTTTTCCGTGTGGATTGAATTATACTGGAAGAACCTGCAATTTTTCACACGATTCAATTAGACAAGTTACGAATGAGAAAAAAAAGTCGATGGAGCATTGCGGAAGTGTCGGTATAGAGGTCCCGGTTACGCTGGTACTATTAACGTGGCTCTATCCACATACCCTGGCATTTAAAAACGACAGCTGCGTTAATCAGTACATGTGTTGGAGATTCTCTATATGTCAAATAGTAACTCCAAAGACACCGTCCATGCAGCGTTTAAAGACTATTGCAAACGTTGTGACTAGTTCAGTTGCGGTGCGTACAGCAGTTACTGAAGGTTGTCCTCACTTTACAACTTGGATAAGACCGATCCAGAGAATACACAATTGGTGGGAATCAGTACTGAGCGGTCTAGCGCATCGGTCACGCGTTCAGACTTTTCCCCGTTTTTTACCTGTACCTAATATATAAAAATCCACCAACAATCCGCTATATACTCCTACAACAACTATATAATAAAAAGTAAAATGTAAATAAGTGTCAGCAAGTCGTTCGCGTTTTAATATTTCAATGGATTTTCTACTACTTCAAGTTCACTTCACAAAGTTGACAATGATGAACAGTGAATCTTACATAAGGTAAGAGTTCTCATTAAATGTTTCTATTCAATTACGTATTCGTTGAAGTTATTGTGCCTTTTTTAACACTATAATCGGATGGCATCGCTGCTGTTTTTTAGTGGTGGCATTTTTTAAATTTAAAATGGAATAATTGAGGATTGGAATAGTTATAGGGTAATGTAATTATTGTGGAGTTATTGGAAATACGTAATAGATATGTCTGTTGAAGTGTATGAGTGGAGTATGTGAATACAACGTACGATAGCTACATATGTACTATATAGTACGAGTTTATACATAGCCGTGTGCACCTCTTGATGCGTATTAAATCTAGTAGACCGCCATTGCGTGTCATCAATATATGCAGAATGTAATGTTTCTGCACAATGAGAATTTTAAATGAAGATGAAACGTCAGAAATTCCATGTTGTAAAACATTACTCAGAAGAATTACTTCATTACGTGTTCAATATTTTTCAGGAAATCTTGAGGTTTAATTATATAGTTAGGAATATATAATAGTGACTTATGTGCGGCGTGTGCGGATCTGTGGGCACATGAGTCCAATCAAAAAACTTGCATTTTGCTGTTTTATCCGGATAACCATCGGTCTCGTATCGTTGCATTTATTTCACCAAGCATAACAGTATGAAAACAATATGGATTGAATAACTTTCCATGTCTTTATACGTTATTCAAACACAATAAAGCGCATGAGTTGAACCATTTTCAGACAGACAATTAATACAGTGATTTATTGTCAGCAATAATTATCGCATAAACTATCTTTGAGGCATGCTCTTTGTGTTTTCCTGGCGGTTCGTAAATGATTATAGTAAATAGAACAGGAATTAATGCAATGTTAACATTTTTTTTTTAAATTTCATTACACACAAAAAAAATCTTATTTTTAGACTTGCGCTTTTAATTCAAGTCCTCTACAGAGTGGAAATTGAGACTTGGATCAGGGTTAATTGAATTGAATTAAATTTGATGATTAAATGTCTGAGGTCGAATCTTTCGGAATCATCAAGTTCATCTTTTCGAAAATCATGAATAGATTAAGACAATATTTAGTACTTCGTGATGATTCAAATTGAGATTTTGAAATTTATTAATTAATATTGATGCTATTAAACAATCATCATATCTTATTTAATTATTATCTCGATAGTGTTAGTTTTTTCTGAGAATTTTCGCAATGAAAGTTGAAAAATTCAACAATTTTTATTTTGTTACAATAATTTTCAAGGGCTCTGAAATTTCGTGCCTCATTGTTGATTGTGTACAATTAAACAACAGGTTATTGAATAAATCGACAGAATTTTAAAGAAAATTCTGGGATAGAACTCATTGACTCGGAGACAATTCCAGTCAGTTGTAAAAGTTTTGAGTTGATTTGTGAAGGTCTAACGTTCTGTCTTAAATCATATCAAATGAACTTTTATTTTGGGACATTCAAGTTTAGACTTTCAAATGACTCAAGTCTCCTATATTCCAAATGAAGATTGTGTCTTAAATTGCAACTGTTAAGTCTTATATTGGGCTTTTAATACATGAGTTTGAATTTATTTCTGAGTGACAACGGACACTAACTTTTGCATTCATCCCGAAAATTTAACAACAATTACAATTTTCCAGAAATTGGAAATTCAGGAATATTAATTATGAAATTTCGACATTTTCACAACTTCTCAGTTTCATATGGACCTGAACATCGAGAATTACCAGAGTATTAAAAAAAAACGATTCATCAATGAATTGAATGAATATTCCACAGATTTTTTCACGTAACTTCGTCGTTGTTAAAAATTTTAAGTGTAGGTTTCCAACAGTATGTGATGCGGGTAAATTTGAAATCCACACATTTCTTCTCTAAAATTAATTTCTTAAATGGCGAAAAAACTCCTTGCTGTCAAAAATTTAGTTCGGGGTAGTATTGAACGATATTTTGATGAATTAACACTTTAAGTCACTCATAAATGATGTTAATTCTTGTTGATTGTTAAAATGAGTATTCGTTTCGAGAGTGATAAACTGTAGATTTGAATACCAAGAAATCATTTTTTCCATCAGAAAATAATTCATCAAAATAAAATTACCTAATTCGATAATTGTTCAAATACTAAAATATTGAATTGAATGAAAATATATTTTATTTTCTTACTGGAGGTGGATAGAAAGAGTGATTTATGAGGAATAATAAACCACCAAAAATGTTTCTTTATTGTATGTTTTTAAAGCGCGTAATCTACGGGCTCAGTTGAGACTGACAGCACTTGAATTCTTGACTTATCTTCTTTTTTCTTTCACTATAGTTTGTTACAGAATTTCAAGGTGCACACGTAGTAGAAGATAGAATATAACGGAGTTACGAAGAAATAACGTTAGGTAGGCGGAGTGAATTAGCACGAATTACGCATCTGCAATTGAATGAAATTTGTGTTAATTCATGCGAGAGAGATAGAAACAGGAGCAATAAAAGAATGAGTGAAGGAGAGACCCACATATTACTGTCGTTTAATCAAACTCAATGAAGATCACGAAATAATGATTTATTGAGTTGATTGTGATGACATTATTCCACCGGGTGAATGTACGACTCTTCATATTCTTTTTTCAATTTTTAATGAGCCTTTTAAGATTTCATCTAATTCTGAAGATTTTATGACAGACAAAGTATTGATTAAATTAAAGGGGCAATTAAATTTTTTTTTTTTAATTTCACTAAAATTTGATATGAAACGAGAGATTCTGCATTTTCAACAGATTTTTCTGTCAATAAAGGGTTTCACCGGATGTTTCTCGAATTCATTTTTGAAAGACAAATTTTTTTGAGGAAAACCTTCATGTTTTGTAGTATAAGTTCACTTCATGTTTTCATAAGCATTGACATCTTATGGTATTTGTAGACTGTATTGAAAATTTAACGGAAAGTTTTAACGTGGTTACCTCTTCAGGTCCGTGCTCGTGAAGACCAGCCTTTTGTAAACATTCGAGTACTTTCTACACTTTTGTATGAATGTTAATTAGTGACAGGAGATGTAAATAGTTTTCAAGGTGAAGATATGACGGGATTTGAATGAAAAAATATATTTGTTGAGGGAATCCTCCCGGAGAAATTTATATTTGGGAGATGTGATTAAGAAATATAGCGAAGTACATTTTTTTAGACCAGTCGTTTCAGCCGATATCTCGGAATTAAAGAAACATAGCGATTCTGTTGCAAGAACATTTTTTATAAAAAAAGATGAGAGCTACAGAAAACTTATTCATGAAAATATCGTTATCTCCCTTCAATACCGAAATATCGAATGAAAATATCGTTATCTCCCTTCAATACCGAAATATCGAATGAAAATATCGAAATGGCCTCGAAAAAAATGTATTCATTATAATTTATCACTTTACAACAAATATATTGGCCCATCTCACATAAGAAGAATATATATATATATTCGCACCTGTTCTCTATATACTTTTCCAACGGGCATAGTAAATCTTTCCTCACGGATTTTTCCATTTCCGGGCAAACATGGAAAAAATTGTCTAAGAAAATTCTAGGTCGATGACAGAGAATTCTTTAAAACATCGAGATGGATTATTTCCTCGAGCTATTTTTAATGCATTGTCACTCAATTATTTATATTTCCCAATTAATGAAAATATCAAAACTGGTGCTTTCAAAAATTTGGTCCTGAGGATTGAAAGTAATCTCTGAATAAGACTTTCATAATTTTAAATTATCTGAAACATTCACTTACTATTTCCTCAGGAAGTGTCATTACGACCTTTTGGAATAAATTGTGAAACATGACTAATTTGAGAATTCAAACAGCGAGTCAATTATTTCTCCAATGTCCCTTGAACTTTCTACTTAATTATAACTTCATGGAGATAAAGGCAATCGATTTGATCGACAATCGGGATGAATTCCGTGGAAGCCCCGAATGAATGGACCGCTTTCATCTGAAAACAAGCGATATTATATTATCTCAACACTTATTTTATATTTCACATCTATTTTTTTACAACTAGAGTTGGCTTTATTTTTCTTTATATACAATAATATATATATTATATATATATTTGTATACACCCGTAAGTTCGACATGTTGGTAAAAATCGAATTAAATAGTATTTTTGAAATTAATAAACAATCGAAAAGACATATGTCATTACGAGTGCTAAATATTAAATTGAATGAATTCCATTCGGAAGAATATTTTTCAATGAATATAATAGACTGAAATAAATAATTCTTCTCCTTCGATTTTATATAACTCTGTCATTAATAGTATATTTATTTATTTTTACTACATATTTGTTAAGATTGAATTAATGCGAATTTAATAAAAGATTAAAGTAATCGAATTACTTTGTCCCAAAATATTTTTGATTGTTTTAAATCTAATTTAGTAAAAGAACATTTATCGTTGCAAACATATGGGCTTACAATATTTTAGTGAATTTTTGTCTGAGTGTATTTAATATTCACCAGGTGACTGGTCGGAGTTATCCTCAGCGTAATGCGAGATCATAAGTTTTTAAAGCTGACGAGCTAGCATGGAATGTCTCATATGCAGTAGGGGTTTCATAGTGTCCTTGCTACTGGATGTATTATATTATATACATAGCGTTTGAGTATAATGTCTATTATGTTGTGAAGCATCATGCCAAGGAGCAGCAGCATGACGGGGCTAACGTTCCCCTGGATTTCAGAATTTAATTTTATGGCACGTTATTTCATACAATGACGATCTTTATGTACGTGCAGTAATGTTCAATTGGAGTGGGTAAGAAAATTATGTAGCTCATGCGCACGCGCATTCCACGTACAATTTAATGCGTTAAAATATAATGATGATTGTCCGCTGCTACATTGAGAAATATCTGGACTTAACTCCAATCTAGTCGAATTCTCACTCTCGATACAGTTGTGTACACAAAAAGTTTTTTGTTAACACCTTTAATTATTTTTTCATTGACTCTATCTATTGACCTACGGAGGAGTCGATCAATCCTTTTTTTATCATCTCAAATTCATTAAAAATCTAATCTTATATAATTTTGTTGTTTTTGTCTGCAGAATGCTAGTGAAAGTAGAATTCCAGTGTCACGAGCGGCAAGACCATCATTTCTGCCGAAACCTAAAATAATATCGGCTTCAAATAATAGTGGGCCGACTATTGGTGGAAATTCAAGAAGATCCACTATTTTATCGTCAGGATGCTTCTTACCCCCACAACTTAATGAGGATATCGCATTGAAAACACCCAGGGGAAGATTCTCGGGGGTGCCTTGTGCGTATTCTACACCTGCTGCAGGTAAATAAAAATAGGACATTTTTTCCTCTCTTCTTTAATCATCAAATAATTCTGTTGCAATCTGATAAACAACATCTCAATTTGTTTCAAATCCAGCTTTGAGTCCATATCTCGCAATTGCCGGAAGATAATGATATTTTCATAAATGCCTTTTTGTAGTACCCAATTTTTTGTATGAAAAATTTTTACCCGAAAACTTTGCTAGGTTTCGTCATTCCGAGATGTTGGCTAAAGACTGCCTTCGAAAAAAAGTAGTAATCCCAGTTCACCACTTCGCTACTGAATTTTCTAAAACAAAAGCATGTTGATGCATTTCTCTGATTTTATGATGGGAATAAATGAATAAACTCTTTAGTTTCACTTGATTTATTCGTCCTCATTGGATAGTGCCTCACTTACAATTATATTTATAGAGACACGGCACAAAAATTGGATTTTCGGACTGTTCGGATCTTATTGATGCATATAACACAACAAATCCAAAACTTTATTTTGGACTATTGTACTGCTTCCATTCGGAACTCAATGCATCATCATGACACCCAATTACCTACGGTCTGTTTAAATTGGAATCCCAATCATTTCCAAGTAGAAATCCAATAAATCCATGGTTTAATTTCAACTTCAATTTTGGTCAAAACAATTTATTTAAAGTTTACACCTTGAAATTTTCATAACTCCGCGAATTCAATTTAGAGAGTTATATTTATGTTTGAAATTCCCGGAATTAGACCAATTTTACAAGTGATCTTTTTATGTAGCCGGCTACATATCGGGACAGGAATTGATCTCATCAAACAATACGAGTAGAACATCTTTGAAGATAACAAATTCTCCGTTGTGCAAGACTTTTTAGTACACAGAGAAAAAAGTCAAATAAAAAAACCTTATTAAAAAAATCATGCACTTTAAGTCAGCCGACACTTTCAGTTCTCCAAGTCCTCTATTTTTTCGGTTGAGAAATATATTATACCATTTATACCATTTTGAAATTAGCTTTCTAATGGTTGATGTTTTATGCCCGGATGGCGACCTATACGGGAGTTATGGCGTTTTAAACATTAAAATGGATATAAAATGTCATGTTACGTTACACTCGCACATTTTATTTTGAGAGTTCTTTCAGCATTTCATCTAATGATACGCAATGAATACGTAGTAGAAAGAAGCATTTCAAAGCTAGGAGAATGAAATTTTATATGAGATGACAGTCATTTCGCTGTTTGAATTATTCTCCGATTCCTGAACATTTAAATTCAGAAATGAAATGTCCTGTAACGCTCGCCCATTCTTAGACCATTTTTTCAAGCTCTCTTCGCTCGATACATTGCGCATATGTGATATTGAGAAGATGACAAAAGAAACTTTCCAATGATTCGCCCCTTGTTCTAGTCTTTAACTTCGTTTTCGAATTATACACGTTCAAATATAACAAATCGTTTTTTTTTCTCCCACGTGATAATTTCAGTTTTCAAGACTTCCAATTCCTACCGTCAAGGTCAACATATGTTATACCATTTTGAAGCTTATTAAATCGGCTTTCAAACGGTTATTGTTTCATCTCCGTATCATCATCCGCATTTAAGTCATGTTTTTCCGTATATCGGTTGAGTGTGAAATACCATGACACATTAGCACTTTTTGTCATATTTTTTCGGTGATTCCATAATATTGGGCCCTCAATCTTATAATACAAATATAATGTCCTGAAACGTTCCGGGATTTCCGGCTCAAAAACAATATTTACTTCATTATTACGAATAAATGAATTTTCGATTCGTATTTTTTGTAAAAAAATTCCAATCGAACGTCTATCCGCATTATTTTCAACTGTTTGTTCAAATTTGTCGGCCATTTTTTTTACCGACAACAATAATGCAAGTCAGTATGCGTGAAATCGGATTCGGAAATGCATAAAAATTGATGTTTTCACTTAGAAACAACAATAGAAAATAGTAAGAGAAAGAAATTATAAAAATCTGTAAAATCAATTCAATGATGGTATAAGTTGTAGAAAAATTGTAGGAAAGAACCCAAAAATGTTCTCGGAAAATTTTGAATAAGAGAACAATCGAAGAGTATGCACAGTTGTTTCAGTATGATAATTAAAAAGAGAAAGGAAAGAAAAACAGATGACGTGAACAATACAAAAATAATGGAAGATAGTAAAACTGAGAGAGAACGAAGAAGACGTTTCAGGGAACGTTTGAATTAAAGAACAATAGAGAACGAAAAAAAATGTTTCAATCAATGGAATTGTAAATTAAACAAGTTTATATGGGAAAGGCAATATTTATTTGTCAGACTGATTGATGATGCATCACCATTGGGTATCGCTTTTATTACGTTTTTGCTCCCGACTGGAAGCTTTGTACTAAACTTGTCCACACATGTATACCCTTTCGGGCTTTTACATTTCCCATCCTCAGTTGCCCCTGTACCGCAATTACGCCGTGGGCCGAGGGGAAAACCACATGGGAAAAAACCTTGGCCAGGTGCAGTCGTCTCTTTCGAGACTACCGCTCGTACGATGAAACCTGTGCAAGCTAGAGCGAATTCTATCTCTAAAAAACCCCTGGCATTTCCCCGACTGGGAATCGAACCCACGAATCTCATGTGCCAACCCCCTACGCTCTAAGCACACGGCCACCGCACGTCGGTTGGAAGCTTTGTAATTAACCGTTTTTTTATTCTCTAATTTTGCCTGAAAATGAAGTAGCCTTATGAAACGTGAAAATACCTGTATATGTGTGCAGTTTTTTCATTAACAAAAAAATTTGAATCAAGTAGTTGACCGAGACTATTTGGCAGGAGACATTTAATCATTATTGAATGTATTAGTTTTTCCCTCACTTTTAATTTCTACAAATACAATTGGTGGTGAGCTTCCGAATGGATTCGCAGCTATTCTGTTTATAATAATGATATTTTCTATAATGATTTTTTCGAGAAACAAGTTGATTGGTCCATTTTCAAAGATCAGAGAGTGCGTTCATCTCTTCCACAAATAATAATAATAATAATTCTTGAAAGACGATAGCATAGACAGCATGAATTTAGTAGAGGATGGAAAGTAAAGACAGACACTTAACAATATATATATTTAATTTGCATTGGCAAACAATAGAATGTATTTAACATTCACTTAATTGTCTATCAGGGGAACTGGGACGGATTGCACACGCAGTGTCGCCAATTTGGAATCTCAAGGATGAATCGTTCCAGCAGGAGCTCTCCTACAACCGAAAAGAGGATGACCTTTTCGGCTCTCTCCACGGCCAATTGACTATGCTGGAGGATATAGGGAATAGCTGCTTAGTCGAGACGACTCTCGGAAGTACCCTCAATGATATCAACAGCATCAATATCAGCAGTGGTTTATCAACACATCAGTATCTCTCATTGAATAAACAAAATTCATTTGAGCACGACGAAAGCCTCGGGATCCTCACACCGGATCAGATGACAGACTTTACAGTACCCCTGAGTTGTTCCCGCACTCCTTCGTGTGAGAATCTCACCGGTTCCCGTGGTGTGCCGGCAGCAACAACAACATCATCTTCGCATAAATCAAGACCAACAGATATACAATTCGTGGATAATCCAAACACGAATATTCTGCTGTGTGAGCGTTCCCCATCGCTGGAAGAGCTTCCACTTGATCCTAAACCCCCGGAGGGTGGAAAATTGACCGAAGAAATTTATACAAATCAACAGGTGGTCTCTTCAGTTGTGACAACGAATGTTCCATCTGCGGTGACATCAGTGACATCAGCAGCATCGCTGCCTATGAGCTTTGTTACTTCTGTGACAAGTATCACAAGTCTTGAGGCAGGTTATCAAGGGGACGGTGAAAATTCTCGTCCTGCTAGCAGAGGACCGGATCCACCTGCTGTGAACTCTGGAAGTTTACCTGGCACTCTACCAGCTTCCTGTCAAGCTTGTCGTTTGCAGGATCCAATGACAGATTCGGACTTCTTCACAGAGAGTGATGCTGACGCCCATGAAGATATGGGCCGAGGTGATCGTCGGGCCCAGGTCATCGATGGCACCTTATTTTGTGCACCTGCAGATGCTAGAAGACGCTGTCCAAGTTTTGCGGGGGAGGAGATGGACTCCAGTGGAATTTATTCAGATCTTGATAAACGTCAAGATGAGAGATTCAATGGGCTTGAACAGGTGAGCGGAGATCAAACGCCGGATACTGCTAATACACCGGATACTGCAGACACTGCTGATACACAAATGTCACAGAAGGTTCAGTTAACACCGATCCTCACTACGGATATGCCTGCGGTTATTATGGATTTTTTGCAGGTAATTATCAACGACATTTTTCATTCATTGAAGATTGTTTTTACAGTGTTGGAATATTATTATTGCAAGTTAGAAAACTTGAAATTTTTAACAAGTGACATGTCATTTGTATAGAATTCTTCATTGATGACGTAGTTAATTTTTTAAATATTCTGGTAATTTTCAATTATCGGGTCCATGCGGAAAAACAATGAAAATGTTGAAAATTCATGCAATCATTTTCTTGAATTTTGAATATATTATAAATTCAATTGTATTTGATGCTGCATTTTCTTGCTGAACTTAAAAATTCAAGTTTTCATTGAAATGTCAATAATTAATTACCATGAAAAATCCAATCTTCTTAAACTTTCAATCTCAACGGGAAATTTAGTGACCGTTTTTCATTGGAATTGAGATTTTCCGAATATTTAAACGATATCTATCAAATTTGTGAAAAATCATCTACAGACTAGACGCAAATTATCGGCTTGATAACTTCTCCGTAACTAGCGAGATCACTCGATTTTTAAAAATCACTTGACCAAGAATACTGCACTCTGATTGGGTCCAATAAAAATTTAAAAACTAATCCTATATAGACTTTTTTATGATGAGAAAATAGGAATCTTCATCACAGATAACTCAAGGCCCCGATGAACCACCTATTGAATGGGATCTTTTGCTTAAATTCCATCTAGCTTAAAATATATTGAAATTTGGCAAATAAATTTGTGTTGCGGGAACAACTCGGAAGATTATGAAAGGATCATGGAGGATAATGAAGATAAAAAAGGAAAAATCTTTGAAGAGCGCTAAACAGTTATATTGATTGAAAAGGATTTACCAAGTTTAAAAATAATAGACAATGCGCAGCCTACCATTGCATCTAGCTGTCATTCAATGCAGTGGATAGCAATGCTGAGCTGCGTATTTTTTATTATTTTTTTGTACCCTTGGTAGATCCCTTTCAATCATAGCCACGATTTAGCGCCCTTCAATGATTTTTCCTCTTTTTCTTTCATTATCCTTTTATTGGATTATGGAGATCGAAATAAATAGACACTTGGAGTATTTTGAAGACTGAGAATTATTATTAAAAATTATTAGATTGACAGTTAAGACTCTTGACTCAAGAGGTACTTTTCTGAATGACGACTTACTTCGAACTGACTAAACATTACTTGTGAGCTCCAGGTTAAACTCCTCTGCAGAGGGCAATATAATTTCTCCTTCTACCCTTAATCCTTGGTCTTTCCTTTCTTGACCCTTTCTGGCCACCGTATGTATTTCGGGAAAAACCCGCACCCTCCGGGACTTCCCCCTTTTTTGTTATAACATGAAGGGAAAGTCCCACATCAACAAAGAAATAAATATTTCCTAAATCCGGAAATATAAAAACTCTGGAAGAGTGATGTTTGAACCTGAGCCTCGAAATCCAACACTTTTTATAACCATTCGTGTAGTTGCCGCAACACAAAATCGATCCCAAATGTATATTAATCAGATAGAATTAAAAGAAAAGATTAGGTTCGATAGATAGTCCATGCGGCACTTCAATCACTCTATTTCCAATAAATCTTCATTGTTGTTCCCTCTTTTCTGAGCATAATAGATAATAATAAAATGTCAACAGGTTCCAAAAAATCCACTGAACACAACAAGTGATTCCAACTCCTCAGGCGGACATGAGATAACAGTAATTCATGTAGAAACAGCAGTAGACACCCATCGAAACCTGACAAAAGCCCAAGGAAAAGTGGAAGCTTCCGCTCTGAAAAAATACAAGATGCCAAAGAAAAATGTAGAATCAAAAATAAAAGCGATGATTGAGTCAACGACTAAAGAGGATTCACCAAAGGAATTGAGGCGCGTCACGAGGGTCCGTAAAAACGGTCATTGGGATGCGGTGATGAGTAAGATTGAAGCGGGTAAATCCGAGCAGCGATTAAGGCCGCAACGCAAAGAAGTCAAGTCACGTTTTATGCAAAGTCTCACATCATCGGCTTCTACTTCAAGTACTCCAACAATGTCTTCACCGTCAGGTGGACATATTGCTTCTTCCAAAAGATCCCCAGGTGATGCTAACAACAATGGCAAAGCCACGAAGGACAAAAGGTTCAGTAACATTGTTTTATTTCGTAGAAAGACCATTTTTCAACATGTTTTTATACTGAAGGAAAATATTTTTTCAGACGATCGCGCGGGCGTCAGGGCATAAATTCCCCCAGTCAAGAAACTGCTCGTAGCTCAGTCCGCAGTTCAATGAGCGATCTGAGTAGTGGACTCAGCAAAGAAACTGTTCTCAGTAAGTAATCGTAATCATTTATTGGGTCTTCATTTTAAGAGTGGAAAGCATTGGAAACCAGGGTCAAACAATGCAGAGGCAATTCTTCACTGAGAATGCCCTCATTATTTTTATTACCAATATTTATTATTACCAGCATTGCTGTAATGGAGTGATAAAAGAGATAGGTGCGACAAGTCATGCAAATTACTTGCTCAATACCAATTGGAAGCCGATCCAGTGGAAAAAATCCTTTTATAAATTTCTCTCAATTTCTTTTTCTCAACAAATTGGCAGAATAAGAAATTAAAATGCTGGCGGCGTGTAATCGGATTTCATTCCGGGATATATTGATCCATGAACTCCAAATCAATCTATTAGCAATGACAAATTCCCCATTTAGCTAAAAGTTCAGTAAATCTGACATCAAAATAGATTATCAACTTGAAGGGCTCATCCCCGCGGTAATGGGCCCGTTGATGAAGCTAATTCATACTTCTGCCGAAATTCTCAATAGAATTTCTAATGAGTCTTATTCCATAACTCTCCTCAGCGATAGCAATCAATGAAGTAATTCTAATTCAATAGCGCAGCGGTAAAATGGTGCAAGTCGAAAAAAGTAACTTTACAGGAGCACTGACAACCTGATTGATCCTCTCTTATCAGTTTGTGCAAATTAATTAATGAATTTTATTTTATTTTGGGTCAGTTCCACCCTCCGCAGTCATTAATTTCTAAGAATTCGGGGACTTAGCTCGCATTGTGTTTCACGTTCGAGAGTTAAATCGAGTTCTTTCCCCGTTTTTAATTGAGAAAGCTATGTCGATTTAGTCCCTTTTTCAACTGATTATTTTCACCCAAATAGAATGCAAGATGCAAAAGTCGTCAGTATTAATTATTCCCAATTTGTGGCGTATAAACTCCATTCAAGATTTAAGTAATTTCTCGTGATCGAAGCAATTGTAATTATCGAGTGATCGGGTGAGAACATGAATGGGGAGTTTTTTGGTATTGACATTTTCTGCTCATAATGTCTTCTTCATGAGTTACAATCTCTTAACTATCATTATGTAGAGAAATAATTTCTGAATAGAATGAAGATGCACAAATGGTAAATATGAATGATTTCGAATTTCTGGTGTATGAGCAACTCTATTGAAGATTCAAGTTATTTCTCGGGTTCCCTCGGAGACTCTCGTAATCCCCTGCCTCGCCAACATTTTATGTACGTATACATATAGGACGTATCGGTATATGCATAGCATAGCATCATGCGCTAAGCTGGCTGACTGCCTTTCGGTTGTCCGCATCTTTGTAGGTTCAGTATCCCCGCGTTTTCTATTCGGGTCACCCACGGTGGAACGTCCGGTTCAATCGACAGCAAAGTACATGATTAATACTTCATTTCCCCCCAAAAAATCGCCACAAGTCCTCTAAATGCCCAGATTCATCTCCATTTCACTTGAATATAAAACTAAGAATGGGTGAATTTGAATTTCGAATGATTAAAGAACGTGGAAAATTGGTTTAATCGTAATTATAGACATGTACCAGTTTTGGATACTGAAAATATCAAGATGAATCAGTGAAAAGCGTGAAGGAAAAGTAGAGGTTGTTGATGGGGCTGAGCAGGTCAACGGCATATAGCCGTTTATTTCCGGCATTGTGTATTCCTCGAGGTTCTGTCCCGTTGGATTCTCGGTTGCCTCGGCAACCGCGCCGGTCCCACGGCTAGACCCTTTACCGTTGCCCCCGTCGCCCCCGTTACCCCCGTTGCCCCTGTTGGCCCCGTTGCCTTACCTTCTGGCTATTCGCACTTTTCCCCCACTTGATAAATATCCATTCCATGTAAAAGGTAGACAGGTGTATCACCTGGCAACCACGTGCTCCATCCAAGGTCGATGGCAAGAGAATCATTCTTGAGGTTTTCATGCATAACTTGTCGCATTAGTTGAAGACTGTGCTAACCGGATGTATCAATTCAACGATTTAGTTATCGTATTTGAAATATATAATAATGTAATTGTTTGGTTTGGTTTGGTCGTCATTAGTGGTATAATGTACATGAAGGTATTGAAATTTTCGTGGACATGTTGTGGTGGTAGATTGAAAGTGGAAATGAGGGTAAAAGCGTGCCATGATACCTCACTAATCTGTGAGGCTGCAGGGTGATTGGCCGTTTAGATACCTGCAGTGGAATTTTCTCTCAGAATAGTCACCAAGGGCAAAAAATATATGATGTAGGTATCGATGAACCCCTGAGCATTGGCTCTGTGCAGATTTTCTTGGGTGAGACAATGGATGTCTTTAGTACAGAACTCTGAGAGTTCTTGGATTCTTCGGGGAATAATAACAGTTGAATCTGATCTTTGATGCAATTTGCGAGTCAGATTACTGTTATTTTCATTGTGATTGTTGCTGCGGTTGTTCTTGGGGTTTTCATCATGGGGCAGCAAGGATCCAAGGGTAGGACTACTCCTGTTCGCGCTGACCTAGTAAGGGAATCAAAAATAGGATTTGGAAGCTTCAAACGAGGTACTTTCCGGGATAAACAATATTTTTTATGGGTGTAACTAGAGCAAGTTGTGGGTTTTTAAACTGGGGAGTGGAGGGGTTATGGGTTTTAAAAATAAAAAGATCGGAACCGCGAGGATACTAATGTTTTTTTAATAAATCCCACGCAGAAAAGAAATTACTCTGGCGTTTGAAATAGAAAAAGAATTTTAGTAATTTTAGTTTCATTCGTTTTTCTATGTAAATAGGAAAATATTATTATGAGAATAGTAAATAATATTTACAATTCTTAGAGATATTCATTATATTCCCTTTGGAAATTATTTGTCGACACATAGGATAGGCAGGGGACTAATATAAGAATATATAGAAGAAACATATACGAAATATTTATTACACATATTTTTCTTATGTAAATTGTGCCAATTTATCACCTTTTTAAATTACGGGCATTTTTGGAAATAGTAAACAGAAATAAAATAAGGAAATTTAGATTTTTGAGAAGTTTAAAAATTTTTTTAAATTCATATTTCGAAAACGGTTAGAGTGAAAAGTTTGAAAAAAAAATTAAATACCTTTCTCATTATCTACTATTATCCCCAAAATAATCAGCAAAATCCAAATTTCAAAATTGAATCTGTGTTTGTTTTTTCGGAAAATGCCCCATATATCCTTTCAAAACATGAATTTTATCGTTTTGATGATTCTACAAAATATTCGATGGTGCCTAGAAAATCACAGCATTAGAAAACTTTCGAGTAATGAATCCTTAAAAAATATTTTGAAGTTAAAAATTGTTATAAATTGCAGTTTAACTTTCTCAAACCAAAATAAACTCATCAACGGATATTAATTATTCAAAAATAAGTTATTGAAAATCGATTATGATTTAATTATTGTATAATGATTATTACTTATTATTTTCTGTAATCATAATATTTAATTACCCTTATAAATATTCCTCCCACCTCTCAACTTCTCCCATTCTCCCCTACACGGAAAAATTGCAATAAAAATTCTGGTTAGGGCAAAATAAATTCATTAACAGAATCTAATTATTTACGGTCCGTCATAAAATATGCTTCATTCAATAATAATTCAATTTTATAACTCCTCAGAACGATCTATAACTGCAGTGACCCAACAACGAAGAACCGTGAACGGTCGTGCGACCCTCAAGTCTCGAGTCCCCAGTCACGATGCCAAAAAGGCCGGTACACTTGACTTATCACCACTCAACCTGGGTAAGCCAATGATCTAAATACTCCAATATTATTCACTCCTCTTTGTTCATACATTTGTATTCTTTCGACTCTACAGAAAAGACCCCGGTACCGATTCGCAAGTCGACATCCTCTCGACGCTCAGCACCAAACAGTGGACCAGTTTATTCTGTAAAACAAACTACATTAATGTCTACACCGGTCACTAAAGGTAAATCATTTTTATTGATGGGTTTAGAGAAACCTTTAACCTTTTTACAACACTGGAAAAAGAATTGAGTTGCTCTACTGGGAAATTAAGTGACATTCGATTGCAAAGTGGTAAACTAGGACAAGTGCACTTTTTTCGAGGTCAGTTCTTAGTCAATATCTCGAAATTAAAGGGTGATAATGGTATTTTTGTAATTACCTTTTTTGTAGTTCTCGTCTTATTTTTTATAAAAAATCGTTGAGCGAAAAAAAGTGTTTCTTCAGCTCTGAGATATTGGTTAAAAGTGGGACTCGAAAAAAATGGATTTATCAGAGTTTACTACTGCGATATTGAATTAAAGACTTTAGAATTGAAATCGAAAAAAAATTTCCCTGAAGATAACTCCTGAGAAGTGTATTTTTCACTATTGGAAGTGGAGAAAAATTTTAAAAAGCCCAGAGTACGGTAGATTATTCTCCTCACACCGTGTTGCTTCTATTATTTTTTCTGGCTGGTATCATTCGATCTAGCTATTCGGTACTCAACTGATAACTTTTTAATTATTTTGTCTCTTACCTATACGTATGAAAGAAAACCGTCGAATCGAGTTGATTAAAATTGATATATTGAATTCAATTGTGGTATTCAGGAAAAAATTGATCAAATTAATCAATAAAAATAGCCCTGTGCTTTTTAAACCTTTATTCTCAATTTTTAAGAATGAACTTTTGTTTGTCTCAAGGCGCAATTTCATGGGCTCAAATTTCAACGAAAAAATGAAGTCCCGAATACAATTCGAGGTTCAAAATTAATTGGATATTTCCTTCTAACTTTCCTGGAAACAAAAGAGCTCCTCAAGTTTTCAAGAACCTGGGAATGCTTAATTGTTTGCAGTAAACCTATTCGGAAATATTCGATAATTCCGAGGCCCTCGTGGTATTATATTAGTGATAATTTCCCTCTGTCCTGTCAATTATTCTTCATGAACCTGTCAGAAATTTGCGGATAGAAGTTGATAGGCGTTGACTAAAATAAATTAATCAATTGAAAATGCATCGATTTGGGGAGAATTCATTGAAGGAAATCGATAAGAAGAGTGAGAACAATGTGAAAAAATCACGGGACCCTAAATACTGTACATCAATTTTAAAAAATTACCCCTGTGTTTTATGAAATCGTTTTACATTCAAGAAGTTTTTATTTCAGAGACATCAAAAAGTTTATATAAGACGACTCCACCAAAAATTAGATGGAAATTTCGTGTGTTGTTCGGTGATATGAACCTGAAAATTCCTCTAATCTATCAAATTTCTGCTTTTTTATATTTCTATAAAAAAAAAGAGAGCACGCGATTGCCAATTGAGAATTACGTCATTATGTCGTAATTTTCTCTGAACTTCTATCTTTCTGCGTTATATTTTTCCCAGTTGTTTGCCAACCGTAAGATGCTCTTCAGAACATTTCATTTTTTTTAAATCCACATCTTTATTTGCTGATAAAGCAATAGTTGCCAAGTGTAATTAGGAAATATTCCAATCATTAAAAAGTAAAAGATGATATTGAACTAGTTTGTTAATCCTTTGTGCTTAAAATTCCATTCCGCAAAAGGATCAATTACTCAATCAGTTTGGGTAGATGGTTTGATATTGAGGTATAGGAGTTTGTATTTTAACGAACAGTTTCCATTTATCCATCTCCATTTATAAAATGAGCTTAAAAGCTAAATGAATAAAGCGACGTATTCGCTCGAACAAATTCTCTATGAATAATTTTTGGCTCTAAACCCACTGAGAAAATAAGCTGCAAATGCTTTCAATCTTTTATAAGTCAAGGAAAGCTGTGGAACAGTCGGCTCTGATTGATTTTCTAAAATTATATCTGTTTTATTTAAATTGAACTATTTGATGCGAATATAGTGACAGAGAAGAGCTTTATTTGGAGGAGGACGTGACTTTGACGAACTTGTGTAATGAAAAAATTTGCGCAAATGTTGAGTGACTGTGTTTTCAATAGACTTCAGTGGGTGACTAGTGCCAAAATACTGATGGGGAATAACTGCGCGTAAAGTTCCCGAAAATCGTCGGCGGTTTAACGTGTGTCTCGAGGGTCTCGAGCTAATTCAGTCGAGCTGAATCTATGAAACAGAGAGTGTCGTCATATCTTGATCATTTAATTAAGACCTTAAATTCCTTGGTCGATACGTCGAAGACATGTCTTCTACTTATTGACATTCAGATTGATTCTAAACTCTACACTCAAATGAGCCTTCCGGAATAATTTAGTGAAGTGTCGCAATAACTTTTATCCACAATTAAATCATCCGTTTATGAAGACAAAGAATAAATTAATATCGCATATAATTTCCTTTAAATTCGTCGCCTGAAATTTCCATTGAATGAAAGTATAGAATTTGACCTTGATTAAATACATACTGTCGAGGGTAGGCGTTTCCTTCAAAATTGGTACTTCCGGTTGTTCAATGGCCTGGAGTAATAAGAGCGTAGGTGATAGTTTAATGTTAAATGAATTTTTATTTCAATGCAACTCACAGATAACGATAATCGTAAATTATTACAACTTTAAAAAGTTGTGAATTAAAATTTTTTTAATTAAAATTATCATTTATATCTCGTAAAATACCGAGTCCAACCTAAACTCGTAATTTACGATATATAAATCTATTCAAAACCCTTGATTAACAAGATTGAGTTTGATAAAAATTATAATTAACTTAAGACGTAACATTTTCAAATCAAATATAAATCTCGTGAGTGACATTTTATCTTTCGTATACGGATGTTCCACTCCCATATGCAATCGAAATTCGCGTCATTAAAATTTAGCAAATAATCCCTGTGATTGATATAAAAAAAACATAACAATTGCGCGTATCGTGATTATTTAATGGTTAACGAAGTTTTATGATGATACGATAATAAAAACACAGAAAAATGTTTGCCACCTTGAAACTTCGTGAGTTATTGAATAATGACAAAATGCAAAAACGTTACATTCTGTCACGTCAACCCCACAGTAAGTTTGCCATAAAAACGAAAAAAAAAAAACGTTAATTCTGGCTATATGGGTGTAGTACACCCTTAAGGTAATGTTTCCTGTGTATGGGAGGAGTTTTATGGCCCTTAGCATGTGGTAATTATTCGGTAGGTGGTACATCTTCTAAACTAGGTGAATATAGTAGTAAGGAAACCCTTGACCATTACGAAAGGACACCGGGCTATAATGCTGTCTCCATTTTCACTGAGCTCTGTACCTCCTCCTCATTAAATAAAGTACGCATGGGGTACTTACGGGCGGCTCGTCAGGTATACTGTAAATCCGATTGGCCAATTGCCAAAGGGCCGTTAAGTACGAAAGTGTCGGGTACTTAGACTATTTACCATTCATTGAATAGACGTGCCGAGTGACACATTGGTGGTGTTAGATTTTTCTACTTCATTTCATCATAATATAATCATTAATTCATTTGCTAAAAAGACTTTTGAGGGTAGACGGTGATGGCGCCTGTACTGTTGATTTCAGATTCAATCAGAAGAGAATCTAATTCAAGTACAACTATTTCACCGAGGATTTCCATTACTACTCGTCAACAAGCAACACAGACTAATTGTTTGGATGAGTCATCGAGGATTAATAGAGCGGAGAATGCTGTTGATGCTCTCTGTTTAACTATTCAGTATTTAATGAGACAAGTGAGTAGTCGTTCACCTTTTTTAGTTCATTATTCCTTAAGAGATTCCTTCAAAATTACCGGAGACAAAATGTCAAATGACAAAACTGAAATCTCATTTTGATTATCACTGAGTGAGGGCTCAGAATCCAAAACAATTCACTAAAGAGGAAATTGTGAGGGAATATTTATATATGTAAGATAAATATAAGAATGGGTAAAGTTGATCGATATTAGTAATAATTATTGGTTGAAATTAGTAAACTATTAGTGGATGAAAATGAGTAGTAAATGAAATTTGTCATCATGGGTATTATTTTGGTATTTTCAGAATGAGGAGGCTTCGAAGAAGGTACAAAAAACCTTGTGTAACTCCAATGCAACCCAAATCATTCTTCAGGAGACACTTACCTCTGAACGTGAAAAGCACCAGAAAGCTCTAAATGATCTTCGATCAGATTTAGAAATTGAATATACAGGACGAATCTCAACGCTGGAGAAGACACTAAGTGAAGAACGATCTGCTTTTGAGGAACGTTTGAAATCCTCTCTCAATGACTTGATAAAACAGCACGAGACGGAAATTGAAAAATTCAAATCAGAACACTCGAAGGAACTGGAGCAGAAGTATACCAATGAAAATGTTCAGGAGCCACTTGAAGATTTGCCATCCCAATTTCCCCTTAAGGATTCCATCAAGCAAGAGATGGAGTCCCTAAGATCCTGCATTAAGCCAATTCTAATAATGAAACAACGAGTTAATGGAAAACTTAAATACGAGAATAATTTATTGTTGAAGAAACTCAAAGAGAAGCAATTGAAAATTCAGATTCTTGAGACTGAACTCGAAAAATTGAGAAAATCAAACAATTTAGTCAATTCGGATACTAGCAGTGATCAATCGTCGAGTTTGCACGCAGAAGTTTGGTCTTTAAGATCGGTTTTAGAACTACGGAGCCAGGAAAATTGTTCAATGAGAAGTGAAATTGAGACCCTACGACGTGATGTAGAGGGTAGAGATACTCTCGAGCAAAAAGTCGAGTCCCTCGAGGCTAGATGCGAAGACCTGAAAGCCCAGCTGCAGAGTAAAGAGTGCTATGAACGAACTTTATCTCATCAAAATGAAATTCTCCTGGGTTCATTCCACGAGGTTTCTAAACACAACAAACGACTAACCCAGAGAAACGAGGAACTCCAATGGAGATTGAGACAGAAGAACGAAGTTGTGAGTGTCCTGGCGAACCAGCTGGCAACGCCTGATAGATTGTCAAGGTCTTTAGGCCCTGAGCACATTGAACATTCGATAACTGCTGAGAAAAATCCCACATCTTCTTCAATGATTAAATTCATGGTGCAGAAAGGAGATTCTGTGTCGTGGACGTTGGAGATTGATGAGTCTTCTGATCCTTTACCTACTAATGAAGCTACAGCCACGGTTTCGAGGCAGAATTCCTTGAGGAGAACTCCACGAAAATCATTGGACATTAGAGCGAGATCAAAGAGTGTTTCTACTTCAGATACAATGCGTGAGGATGGGTGGGCTCCAGCCTATAATTCAACACCTGTTTCTGGGAGGAGACCCAGGAGTGATCCCTCTGTCTCTCCTGCAGGTCAGATACCTGTAGATGTTGCTAATGATCAGCAAACAGCAGGACCTACTCCTCAAGAAGCTGGAGGGGAAGCAATGATCTCTGAAGAGACATCTGCTACAAGCAGTGAGGATGAGTCCTCAGCCAGTACTGATATTCCACGTATCGCTATGGAGTTTGCATGGACTAATCCTGTCGAGTGAAGTAAGTGTAAACATCGGGTCAAATTCTTTCTAAATATTTGAGAAGGATAATGCTGCCTTGTCAGCTTAATGGCAGATGTAACAAAAACCAA